TCGAGCCCAGGGTAGGTACGCGAAACGAATTCACAACGCTTTATCTGTAGAGTGGGAAAGGGAGAGGCTAGTTGGCACTTCAGCACTGCTTGTCATAGTCATCGGGTCCAGGCTAAGGTCCTCGTCAGATCTGGATACGACCTGGATCCGGCAATCAATAGAAATTTTTGTAAAAAATGACATGTTAACTATAAAGGCCCATTTCTACTTACGTAGAACCTTTTTGGCATGGTATTCATGGCATTGGCTCATTGAGCATTTTTTTCTAAGAGAAAGAGAGATACTCAGAGTAATAACTTGGCAAAGTTTTATAGGAACGTCTCATATTTCGTGAATACTGCTCATTTGTTTTTGCTCTATTGACCAGAAGGCCTAATGTCTTCACAGCACTCACATTAGTCCTGATATCCCTCACAGAGAACATAAAAAATCCGGGATCTCAAAATGAATATCCTCTGTAGAGGACAAAGGTACATATGATTTATTTCTAGTTTCCTTGCTCTTTATAGCCATTCCTTATTCCTCTTGGACCTAAAAATAGGTAAGCACATGGCATCCCTCCTCTACAAAGAGCATTTGCCAAAAGAATATTAGATTGTCACATTCTGATGCAATCAACCAGTGATGTAACGTATGCGATTTGTGTGTTGTGCAATAGTCTGGCAATTCTGCTCTTTAAGTTGAAGTCAGTATTCCCTCATTCACCTAAAAGTGTCCTGCACCTTTTGGCAGTGTTGAATTTATTACATGAATTATTTACTTGAAATAACATGCAATATTACTGCACCACATAACGATACATTAACAATATTGTTAAAAGCATATACTGTAAATGAAGGTGACTAAAAGTAGGCTATATGTTCTGCGGATTTACTCTTTGTATATAAGCTCAATCAAATATATGCGAATAGAGATCAATTTGATTTGCTCTATTGCTTTCGTCCTCTATTAAAGTTTTAGCTTCCTAATACAGCAGTTTACATGTTCTTTAACCTGTTGAAGTAAGTAGTTAAAAGCTTAGAACTGGAATATTGTACTTGATTTTTCCATTTCCTTCAAGTGTGTCATCAAGTGTGATAAATCTCTAAAATCTTCTCAATTTCATCTGCAGCCAATACAGACATGAGAATATGTGTGTGTTTAACACACATTTTTATGCGAACCAGTCTGGCCACCAGCTCCACAGAACAACTATTACTAACTGGGAAAGAAAAGAACAAAAGCATGTTGGCATAGACTGCTGGACGAGGATTCGGTTAGAACTACAAACACAAGTAAAAAGTGTTAAAAAAAACTACAGACATGGAGGATGCGCGAGCCCAGCGGTTGGGTGGAGAGGTTTAAGAGCTTTGAGTTATTAATTATCTGTATCTAACCTGATGAAAATGAATTTATCAATGTTGTCCACATTATATTGCATCTGCAATACTTTTGTAAAGATTCGTTAAGCCATTACTTTTTAAATGCATCATTATATTCATATCGGTCTTTGTCAGGTGACGTCACACTCGTGCTTGGGCGTAGCCGCCATTTGTTAGGTATATCGGTTGTTGGAGAATTGTTTTTTTCATTCTTTTTTTCAAAATAGACCATCCTTAACATGACACTATCATCATCATCAATACAGCAAACCTATATTTGCTGTTACTAACTTTACAGGATTTATTTACATTCCTATGATACAGTAACTTGGTGAAATGTCTGCGAGCTTTAAGAGATGTATAGGCCTAGTTTTTAAATTGTTCACTGGTAACGTTATATGTGCTTATACCATAAACAAGATAGTTGACAATGCCCAAATCAGCACTCCAGCTTACTGCAGTCAGCTGAGCTCATATATGGATCTATGTTCTGAATGGATGACAATTTCAACAAAATTGTATCATCATCATCAATACAGCAAACCTATCTTTGCTGTTACTAACTTTACAGGATTTATTTCCTACCAAATGATACAGTAACTTGGTGAAATGTCTGCGAGCTTTATAAGAGATGTATAGTTTTTAAATTGTTCACTGGTAACGTTATATGTGCTTATACCATAAACTAGATAGTTGACAATGCCCAAATTAGCACTCCAGCTTACTGCAGTCAGCTGAGCTCATGGATCTATGTTCTGAATGGATGACAATTTCAACAAAAAAAGGTACCTGCCATATTTATTGAGTTTATTGCGGTACGGCATTTTCTCAGTTTTTGTTGTGCTTCTGCAGTTTTGCGAGTAATTTACTTGTTATCGCTACTCTCGTAATCTCTTCAATGCTCACAGTCAGTCATAGACATATACACTAGACCTCACCTTGGATACGGCAGTTCATTAGAACAAATGCGTCAATAGAGCCGCCATCTTGAAACAAGGGAGCCCCTCCACTTTAATGCATCAGCGTCAATGTAGTAGACACAGGTCTAACGCAAATAAAATCACCATAAATCATCATGAATGCGATTTTTCTTGTTTTTTTGGTTTGTTCCAACGGTCAGACATGTATTTATCATTGATTCCAGAAAGAAAATTTTTTTTTTTTTTTTTAAACATTCTTCCTAGTTCAGATTTCATCCGTGAACTTCATACGCTGCACAAAAGTCCGCCACCATCAATGAATTCGAAGTAAAGGCAGAGATAGCAGCGTTACCTAGCTACTTCCTATGACAAGACCCCTGTTCCAAGATGGCGGCGGTTTTGACGCACGCTTAGAACCCCCAGGTGAGGTCTAGTGTATATGTCTATGACAGTCAGTAGCGATACCTCAAAAATGGCGCCGCGGTGCGTCCGTCACACACAACAAACCCACGTGTCTGACAAAGACCGATTGCAAACACGAGGAGAGTCTCCGCATGAAAGACCCACGACTGGCAGATGATCGTGCTCTCTGAAACGGTAGGAAATCAAATTAGAGTTAATTTTAACTGTGACAAGATGATTGACAGGATGCACGCATCTCGCGACAGAGCGGTCCGTTAAAGATGACGTGATAGTATGTCCAAAAGCTTGCCTACTTTTCAGCTACAATACTCAAAAGTAGGCTATATACTTTTTCTTCACTAAGAGAGCATTCTTTTAGGGCGTAGTATAAGTAAGCGAATTGGGCCGCCCCAAATGCAGAAATGCACACACACACATACACTTAAATTCCCATTAAAATGAATGGTCATATATGGGAGGCAATTTGACGTTGTTTCAAATAAAAAGCAATCAGTCACAATGAAGACTGCCCAAGATATGTGGATATAAATGCAGAACACAGGGGAATAGTTAATTTTCTCAATATAGAGCTATCACCGAAGACATCCAATTTGAGACTTTTGAGTTATTTTGTATTTCAGGTCTTAAAACTTCAGGTCTTTTACCACCCAAAATAACATATTTAGGCTAAACGTTTTTTTTCCTGTGAAAATGTTTTTTATGCATGCCTTAAAATAGCTTGAATGTATAACTACACCCTTGCTTCATTTAGTATATTGATGCATGAATATGCAAATTAGCCCCGCCTCCACTCACTCACAGCAGCTCAGAGATACACTCCATCTCTAGACCCATCGCTAAAAATCAGCATCCTTAGAAACACTGAACAATAAAATAAATAAATCTTCAAAAATCTCCATTAAAAATACAAACAATATCATCAAAATAGATTGATATAAGATCTCTGGACAAAAAAATAAATAAAAAAAATAAAAAGTAGGCTATAATTTGTGTGCGAGGGAAGCATTTGTTACAGATACGGGATGAGAGGATGAGGGTTACATTTCATGTATAAACCACTGAAATGAGAAGCAAAAACAAGAGAGTTAATTAACCCAGAATATGAGTGAGCTAAGTATATGTGTAGGAAGGGGCACCTTTAACCATAATTAGACAAAACAGACACTTGCAAACGAGATTTACAACAGATGGGTTTTGTTGAGTGGTATTGCTAGTACAGTCCAAAATGTTCAGAATCACTTAGCAGCTGACAAAACTCCTTACCAAGAAAGGCAATGCATCAGTAATGTTGAAAGAAAGCCCAGATGCCTTTTCATCAAGTTCCAAACTTTCTTTCTTATGTGGAACAGAAAAAAATATTTTGAAAAAAAAAAAAAATGTATATAAAAAAAAAAGGAATGCAAGTCGATACACCAATCCAGGCTGTGCGTTCACTCTTTTTTTCCAACGGCGAATTGACACAAACAATCCCAGATTGCACAAGTCTTTTTGATGTGATTTTTACATCTGGAAGACGCATTTTTAAGAGTGTTTGCTCATCTGGAAAACGTCTATAGAATGTAACATCTACATTCATTTGATAGTTGACTCTAGTCAGTGTGCCATTGTGGTTTTATTGTGTTCAGTACAGCCATACCAAAAAGAGGATAACATTGTAATTTTATTTTAGAGGACAAAATTGAAGAAAAAAAAATATATATATGTATGAGGGGTTTGAAAAACCATACAAAACATGAGATTAAACTTAAATCCTGATTATAGACCTTTCCCTTATGGCGGGATTTATTTCACGCTTATGGCTGCAATACGTGCAATACAAGGAAACAAATGTCAATAATCCCGATGCTTGATGCTGATTGGATTCTCACTCAGTCCCTGAATGACCAGAGGATTATTTCATCTGTTTGTGTAGTTCTCTAGCGCCTCCTGCAGGCGAGGACTGCAATAACCTGTCCTAATTCATACTTCTGGTCATCTCAGTTTATAATCCAAATATATAATTGGACCAGTAGTATTATATAAAATTGGACACTCTAGCAATTATTGCAGTGAAGCTTTATAATAAATCTTTTTATTAATATTTTATGTGGCTTTGGATATGATGATTTTTTTTATTATACTAGACTATCATGTTTCATAATTACAGGCCTCCTCAAAAAAATTGGGTTCAAAAAAAGATAAAACACCTCTGTACAACAAGATCGTGTCTATTTTCTTTTTCAACATACACATTTTAACAAAGAATTATAAAGCAATTATAAAACAAATATCAAGTACGCATATTTCTTTTCAAGCATTCTTTTAATAAGCAAATTCATTTTCAAGTGACACCCTCATATAGAGGACACAGTCTCTTGACATAGCAGAATGTTGTTATGCAACAAAAATAACAATCCCCTATGGGAGCAACATTTATTTATCATTCATATTCACTGTTTTATTTCTTATTTTTTTAAAACTCGCAAATTTGATCCTCTATAACAGGGTAGCCACACCAAATAGTGTGTACATGTAACATTTTTGAAGGGCGATTTTAATAGATCATAATCCACATTTTTTTTAATATTAACATATTGTACACTTATTTTTATCAGATGCCTTTATCTGAATGACAAACAAGACATACAAGCAATCCATCTTTAATAGCATATTATTCTATGAATCTCAATTAAATAATTAATGAAACCAAGATAAAATCCATATCCATTTAGCATGAAACCAGAAAAATATCTACACGTGTATTATATTGCATGTAATTTGTTCACATATACACAGAATTCTGATTTTTATTTTAACCAGTGCATTGAGACGATCTATAAAATATTATGACCAACCCAACCCAAAACCTATAACGGCACCGTGCAAACACTGTCCGAACATGTAGGGTAAAAACACTGCACACCTTAATATGTCTCTAGTGTGAGTGAGTGTGAGGAGGACACACAGATTTGTCCTTATAGCGGCGTAACTGTCTCTAGTAAACTCAAAGCTCCTTCTACATGATTGGACACTGAAGGGAAAGGGGGGTGATGGGTAATTTATTATGGAGATAGGAATGACATCAGAGGACACTCTTTTCAACATCCTCTTCTTTCACCTACAAGATTAAAGGGACAGCAGATTAGCTGAGAAACATGAACATATTGCTGCATGAGTTATCTCACTTGGTGTGAGGGAATTCATAGGGTGCGTCTTTTTGTTTTAAAGTGCCCCTATTATGCTTTTTCAGATATGACCTTTCATACATGGTGTGTTACAATGGCTGTTTTTGAATGTAAAAGGTCTGCAAAGTGCATGATAATTGGAGTTATTATCTCACAAAACGAGTTGACGGTAATTCCAGTCTCACTTCCTGCGTCAACCTACGTAGGTTTGTAACAAATTTGCATATGGTCTTCATTGGCTGCCTGTGAACAACGACACCATTGTTATGGTTTTTAGTATACATAGCTGTCAACCCTCCCGTTTTTTCCGGGTTTCTCACGTATTTTTACTCTTTTCCCGCTGTCTTCCCGTTTTAGTATTTTCCCGTAAAATATCCCGTATTTTTACTCTGATTGTGTGAGACGTACGAGCTCTGACTGATTCGGCTTGAAGTCGTTTATTCTCAGATGCGGCGCCGCGCGCGCTGGCCGGAGACACACTGGCTGTGTGGCGTGTCCGTTTTTATTTCGGTTCCCATGTTAACAGATTAGAGCTTGCACACTCCAGAAAACGCGTGCATGCTAGAAATAGAACTGACGCCTATTTTTTCACGCGACACGCAAGCGTGTTGAAAGCGTTTCCAGGCAAAAAAAATAAATAAATAAAAAATAGGAAACGATGTTTATATGTCATTTTGTACTCGAATAGCCTACATTTTACATTTCAGATATACAAATTCAGATATCAATGTAATTTAAACAAATAATAATTATAATAATAGATTTATATTGCCATTAGTTTTGCCTATATATAATTTAATGTCATATAACATATGAATAAAATATCTTTTCTTTTCTTTTTTTTCCATTTGTTTCTTATGCTCTTAACAATGATTACACAAAGAAGAAGAAAAATTATTTGGAAAAAAACATTCTGGGCCTCAGGAGGATATAAAGATGGGATAGGCTACAATAACAACAGAGTGTGTCTTCTGAGTGACGGTCCACCACCAGGCTAAATATAGGCTCTTTAAAACTACATAAAATGTGTAAATGTAATTGAAATAAACAGACAGCCCACTTCCCTATTTTGTGGGTTTTGGAAGATGTGATAACAGTTGAAATTGTTGTCATAAAGGCAAGAGCAACACACCGCTATTCCAAATGTAGATTTTTTTTTTTCTTTAAATGACACTAGTTTCTAGGCTATTAACTCTTTAGACTTTTAAGGATTAGTGCTTTATTTTTAAAGTTTGTGGGTAAGAATCGTGTAAAAAAAAAAATCCCTTATTTTGGGGAAGGATTCCGGGAAAACTCCCTTATTTTCAATGTTCAATGTTGACAGCTATGAGTATACAAGCGCTGAGGAAGAACTGGAGCTGAAATTCAGATATGGTAATGGCTGTTTCGTTTCCGACATGTGCTGTAAATGGTAGACCAATCACAACAGACTGGGCCATCTGACCAATCAGAGGAGAGCAGCTCTTGGAAAGAAAGGGTTAAGAGAGACTGAATCCTTTATCAAACCATTTCAGACACTGTGAGAAAGGAGCTGATGCTGCAGTGTATACTATGAGAAAATGAAAGTGTTTTTTGACCTTTGATGCATGTAAACCTGTTGTAGAAGACCTCCAAAATAGCATAATAGGGGCACTTTAAGAACATGTGTTGAGAATCGTCCTTAAAGGAGTAGTTCACTTTTAAAAAAAAACTTTTGCTGATAATTTACTCACCCCCATGTCATCCAAGATGTCCATGTCATTCTTTCTTCAGTCGAAAAGAAATTAAGGTTTTTGATGAAAACATTCCAGGATTTTTCTCCTATAAAATGGACTTCAATGGGAACCAAACGGTTCAAGGTCCAAAAGACACTTTCAGTGCAAACTGCAAACTGTTCAAAGGGCTTTAAACGATTCCAGACGATGAATAAGGGTCTTATCAAGCGAAAAGATCGCTCATAAAAAAATAATAATAACAAAGATCAAGTTTTATAAGCTCAAATGATCGCCTTGCTCTGTTCTGTAATGCACGTTTGTGACTCTCCTGTTCGAACTCGTTCATCAAAACGAACAAATCTTTTTCTGAGTCATTTGGTTCATTCAACGAACGAAACGAACAAATTGACGAATTCATTTTGATGAACGAGTTCGAACAGGAGAGTCACAAACGTGCATCACAGAACAGAGCAGGGCGAGCATTTGAGCTTATAAAACTTAAACTTGGTCATTTTTTTTAAATGAGCGATGTTTTCACTTGATAAGACCCTTATTCATCGTCTGGAATCATTTAAAGCCCTTTGAACAGTTGCTGTTTGCACTGAAACTCTCATTTGGACCTTGAACCGTTTGGTTCCCATTGAAGTCCATGGAGAAAATCCTGGAATGTTTTCATCAAAAACCTTAATTTCTTTTCGACTGAAGAAAGAAAGACGTGGACATCTTGGATGACATGGGGGTGAGTAAATTTATCAGCAAAAGTTTTTTTTAAAAGTGAACTACTCCTTTAACTCCTCACCTGCTCAACTCCTTCCACCTCGGGGACATAGAACTGCAGCATGTTCTGGATGCCACTCTTCAGCGTGACGATGGAGCTGGGACAGCTTGTGCAGGAACCCTGCAGCTTCAGCTTTACAATACCGTCCTCAAAACCATGATACAACACGTCACCGCCGTCCTCCTGCACTGTGGGCCTGAGGAAGGACATAGAGATAGAGCAGATAGAGGAGCGGAACTTGCTGAATTAAAGGGGAAATGAAGCGGTGAATCAAGTTTACATGATTTACAAGATGGATTTCCAATATAATCAACAATTATATAAGAAACATTACAAATGTAAACATTTAGAAGAAAAAAAGAAAAAAACTTTGTATCTTTCGCCGCCAGGGCGCCGCCATTGTGCAGGTGACGTCACGGGATTGGTTGGCTCAAGTTTAACAGGCTCTGGGCACTGAAAATCGCGACATCAAACTGTGTTTACACCAGTGTTTTGACCGCAAACAACTAATGTTAGGTACAGATATTCGACAAAAAGACGACATCTCATGTTATATGTTGACAAACTGCACATAGAAACATTGTTCGCGATGTCTGCCGTCATATATTCCCGTCTCGTCAACACCATGTAAGTTACGTTGCTGTGTAGAACAGTCAGTGGTGGTTTGGGGCGGAGAGCGATGTTGTCCTGCGATGCCCTCCGTTTCAGAGTCCATCTGTTGTCAAGAGGTTGATCTTGAGCATGTATTGCGTGCGTGGTCAATTCTGCATCACCGGCGCGCACGTTTACCATGCTGTGCCGGGAGTTAGACGTGTGGAAGCGGCGATGCTTTCCCTGAAGGATGTCAGAGCGGAGACACTTTTTCCTAGTATATGTAGGCTGTAGCTAACGTTACTAGCACTACCAGTGCGAAAATATGGACGTTTCATTTCCCCTTTAACAAATACGTGCTAACTTACATGTTATTGACGAGACGGGAATATCTGACGGCAGACATCGCGAACAATGTTTCTATGTGCAGTTTGTCAACATATAACATGAGACGTCGTCTTTTTGTCTAATATTTGTACCTAACATTAGTCGTTCGCGGTCAAAACACTGGTATAAACACAGTTTGATGTCGCGATTTTCAATGCCCAGAGCCTGTTAAACTTGAGCCAACCAACCCCGTGACGTCAACTGCACAATGGCGGCGCCCTGGTGGCGAAAGATACAAAGTTTTTTCTTTTTTTCTTCTAAATGTTTACATTTGTAATGTTCCTTATATAATTGTTGATTATATTGGAAATCCATCTTGTAAATCATGTAAACTTGATTCACTGCTTCATTTCCCCTTTAAGAACAACATTATTAGTCTCACGACTTCTGTGTAATTAAAGAAGTGTCGATAACAAAATACCATTTAGTTTATTCCTGTTGGGTCCAAATGTACCATATAGAACGATACGGTTCCGAATAATTACACTGACGTTCAAAAGTGAGGGTTTGTATGATTGCTTGGTCACACTTTAGATTAAGGTCCAGTTGTCAATATTAAAGGTAAAATATGCAGGATTTTTGCACTAAAATATCACAAAACCACTAGGCCAATGTTACATATTTTGTTTAGTTGATTACTTACAATATCCCAAATGTTTCAATCTATTTGTAAATCGAGAGAAAATTGCGATTTTAACAAAGGAAACGGGGCGTGTGAGCAGGAGTGAGGAGTCATGACGTCATATCCGCGTTACCCCCGGTTTCCCCAGGTTTGACCTCGTAATGCCATCGTAACCATGGCGACAGACATTGACAAGTGGGTTATGTCCGTTATGCCTAGCAGGGCGCTCACGCTGTTGTTGTTGTTGTTGTTGTGTTCATACATCAAGCCTACTTCACACTACATGATTTTAAACCTGATTTAAGCCCGATTTGCAAAACGTTGAGCTCGCCGACAGGTAGGGCTGCACAATTAATCGAATTTGTAATCGCGATTACAATTATGGCTGCCACAATTATGTAATCGTTCAAAGGCACAATTACAAAAAGTCCACTTATATTATTCTGTACATCATGGGACATCAAGGTGATCTATGCTAGAAACAATAATCACTGCAATAATGATCCAATCATAGACTCTTAATCATTTGCCTATTTAAATCCAAACAGTGTCTTTTTTCCTTCTTTTGTTTGGCCTGGCAGTGTATTTTAGCTGTATATTGCTGCCATACAGACATAACTTTGACACACTCATCTCTGGCTGATGACGAAATTCTTTCTAAATACTTTCTTTTTCTGTAAAGCTGCTTTGAAACAATATGTATTGTGAATAACTTGAACTGAATTGAATTTGAAGGCTGCATTGAATATAATATCAAAACTACAGAACTTTACAGTAGTACCTTATGCGTGTGTCCAGTAATTCTTTAATCATGGCCACCACCTCGTCATCATCCTCCGATGGAGCTGCAGGAGCACGTCATGTACAACATGTGTAAAGATCTTGATTTTATTGATGATGTCTAGATAACAAGCATGAGAAGAATAGAAGAGATCGTAATGTTCAACCTGTGTCGGCATGTGGAGCATCTGCTTCATTGACAATAGGAAGTCCAGAGGTGAAGAAGTCCATAATGGTAGCGAAGACGTCTGGTTTGAGCACCTTCCACTGCGTTTCGCCATCAGCCTGAATGAAAAAACAGATTTAATGCTTAAAAGTTCAATTAAAAACTTTTAGTGTTCGTGTTTAACAGGGCTGGTGGTTTACCTTAGTAATGGTTATGAAGTCAGGGCCGAAGAAGACACTCTTGACTCCTTCAATTCTGAACAACTGTCTGAGGAATGAAAGTACAGATTTGTAAGCGTTTGTTTGGAAGACAACACATAAAATAAAGCCATCAGCCTGACACTCAAATAGGCGTCCTGCGAAATCAGTTATCAATCATTAGTTGTGTTTGAAAACTAAGTCAGGCATCAAAATTACTATTGTTCATGTGTCATTCTCAATATAATTATAATCATGACCATTGATGATAATTATATTCATTATAACTTTTTTTCCAAAGCATCTTTCTCCATTAAGGAAAAGCACATTATAATCTCACACAAATATTTGATGCACCCTGTGTTTCTGGGTCACTGTGATTTTGCCAAATAAGAGAACTTATTTTGTTGATCCTAAAACAGCATTTTAGGATCCTAAACCTAACCCTACTCACGTTTTACCCCTAAAATCAGAAGGAAATGATAGGTGAAAAGCATTGATGTAGAGGCACCTAACCCTGATTATAAGCCTAAACTTCTAAATTTAGACTGTAAACTGGCTTAAATCTGATTGGTTGATTGGAATGTTGTTCCAGAATCAGCAAAGATGTTGATCCACAAACATGTTGCACTTGGTGAAATCACGTACTTCTATGTTTCTGTTTGCTTGAAATAGCCTTGATGTCCCATGATGTTGAATAAACTGTATGAAAATTAATAATATTTGCATAATTCATTACATAATATAATACAATAAAGTTTTTTTTTAATATATATTCTATATTATTTACTGTCTTTCTACCAAACTGGAAAAGGAACCCAATGTTGTGCACTTTGCATTTTGCTAGAAAGTCTCAAAGTGCTTGAATTTCCCAAATTTGGATGGCAAACATGACTGAATTTTAATTTTCGGTTGATTTTTATTCAAATTATTGCGGTTATCTCAAACATTGGCAATTAGAACGAATAACCACGATCAGGTGATTAATCAATAATCGTAATCGTCACGATTTTGTAATGCCATTACTGGCGAAATCACTTATATAGACTTTAGCTTGTTTACTATTAAATAATAACTTATCCTATACCATTACTATGAATCGTGATTGATAGTAAATAGCATAAGCAAAATAAGCACAGTCTCCAGAAAATAAAATACAGTGAAAAACCACCTTGCCAAGGGTGAACAATAAGCCTCTCTGGGTCCAGCGAAATCCATAGTCCCTGATTCCATCACCATGCGACCAGGGAGAAACTTCAGGCTGTTTGGGTTTGGAGTGTCTTGGGTCTGAATAAACATGTTTCTGACTGATGAGATGAAATAAGCGTTATTATCCATTCCAACCAACCACACACTTTATCATGAATATTGGTAATACTTACTAAACATAGTGGTTGTTTGCTGTGGAATCTGCTTTCGGCCCACTTTGTGAAGAGAGGGTCTGTAGAGCCCTGCTCCATGATAACTGCACACATGATGCCTTTGAACACAGCAAATCATTGAATTATTGATTTTTACATATTCCTGATAAGTCTATTACATTTTTCACATTTTTAGAGCCAAGGTGTGCCGACTTTTTTTTTTCTTCCTTTTTAACATTTTTCTGATATGCCTTAACATCAACAATAACATGTAAAGTACCCTGTCAAAAATTATTATTGTAAGATTATAGCATGACACTGTTATATAATATTAGTATTGTGTGATACCATGTTGATATAACAGAATATATTATTGTTGTTTTGTTTATGTTTATTGTTGTTTATTTGTTGTTAATGGTAGACAGTTTATGACAAATTACTACAGTTATTGTTAGTAGAATAAAACTATGGTAACTTGCATGAGAGCAAGGTTCTACGTTTGAAGATCTCGTTATTTCGGCGTTTTTTATGGTTTCAGCAAATGCTGTGGTAAACATTTATTTTAATGGCGTAACTTAATGGTCACCATGGTAATTAACGAGAGCACTGAAGTAACGTTAACTTTAGCTTTTGCATTAACTATGCCATAAATTAGTATCGAAAAGTACAAATATATATATAACCAAAAGTGAATATCAGTGGTGATAACAATGTGTTAACTTATGAACACTCATGACAATGCTTCTCCAATAAGTACCCTGCATCTGCGTCACTCAAGAGTCAGACCTTGTCAGTGACACTGAACTATATTATGAAACTATAAAACACTCAAACAATTCGCCCGACTCTAAGTCTAAGCAATCTGAAAGACATCACTTATAACTCCTCACTGACATATGAAAGTATAGTAAAAAGTGTAGAACAATAACGACTTACGATCTCGTTAAAAGAACAGCTAAATTCCTTCCAACCTCAAATCTCCTGTACGCGGCCATGCTCGTGAGGGGCAGGCACGAAGACTCTGTTACGTGACGTAACTTCCTGGATTCAATGCGTGGCGGAAATCAGACGAGTTCAAATATAAAACATAAAAATACTATATATATATATATATATATTTTTTTTTTTTTTTTTTGCTACTGAAAATAAATAGGATACAATTTTTAATAACAAAAATATTGCTTAGCCCATTACATTTTCTGTCTCAGCTGCCCGAAAGATTCTTGCGACAGGAGCCTGTTATTTAGTTTAGAAAAACATACATGTTTGGCTAAATACTTTTTAAGGGTGTTACAGTAAAATTGATCTGGGTAAATCAAGCAATCAGGGCCGAGCCGGTGCAAAAAAAAAAAAAAAAAACTATACTCAACTTTTTCATCTAATGTAGCCATTTAATAAATAAATAAATAATATTATATAAGTGATTCATCTATTTTAAAATGTAATGCAAAATCATGTAATCATGCCTACGATTACGTAAAAGGCAGTATATGTTTTAATAAAAAATAAAATATACAAAAAGTTCAAATGGACATCTTTACAATAAATTAAATAAGTTCTAGTTATTTTGAGTTTTATTCTTTTGTTACAGTAACTTCCTAATTAGTAACAGTAAATCCCTATATATATATATATATATATATATATATATATATATATATATATATTAATTTTAATGTTATTTTTAAAATGGTTATATGTATAATACAAAATACAGTAATAACTCTATAGACCATTTCACAAGATGTAAACAACACTGGTCCAAAAACACTTCCTGTTTCAGTTTCTAACTGTTTTCTTTATTTCACATGTAAAGAAAGCATCTTAAAGATGTTTGTTTAACTTTTTGATTCAGTTTTAAATGGTCTGTTGGTTGTATTTTATCCCAGCTTTTATGTAGTGTTAAAAAACTGAAACAGGAAGTGCTTCTGGACCAGTGTTGTTTACATCTTTTGAAATGGTCTATATATATATGTATATATATATATATATTTATATATATATATATATATATATATATATATATATATATATATATGTATGTCATTTTTAAATTGATCATATGTATAAAATGTATTATATTGATTATAAATATATAATATGATTCATATTATTTATTGTGTTTTTGTTGTATGTCTAGTGGTACTTTTTTGCTTGTGTAGAGCAATAAATGAATGAATGAACGAACGAACAAACGAATGAATGAATGAATGAATGAATGAATGAATGAATGAAAAGAATTATCCTGCATGGTGGTTAAAATGGTCAATACAATTCAAATGCAAACTTTAGAAAACATATATGTTGGATTTTACAAGAAATATAATATACACAAAGAAATATACATTTAATTTATTATAATAAATAATGATTAATTGTTCATGTCATTTATTATTATATTTTGTTTCATTTGTTTATCAATTATTATTATTATTCATAATTAATTAATTAGAATTATAACCCATAATATTAAAGCAGTACAGTGTGATAAGGAGTGCAGCTGCTGTGAAAGAAGCACATTCCCTCAGACAGCATGGCTTGACCGATAGATGTTATTATCCCGAGCGAGCGAGCGAGCGGGTGTCATCAGTGCGGTGACCCGGATGTCTCCTCTCGTCTGATCCTCTTATCAGCGACAAGGGGACCGAGATGGATGTTGTTAACCAGGTAAGGCATTCAATCACAGCTATTCACCTAATAAATACTCATGTTCTGCAAATACCTTACGCTTATTCGCGTATTGGCCTAAAGGCAAACTGTTATTTGACTGACTAACAATGATTTTAACTGGACGGATAAAACGGAGTTTAAATTAATGACTTGACAAGAAAATACCTAGAGACGACGTCTCGTTGAGTTTCAGGGAATCTCTGTTGGATGCAACCAAATAATAAAACAATACAGAAAACCGTTTGCAATTCAAGACAATTCGCGTAAAATCGATCAATAACAATAGAGTACAAAACAAGCAGTGTATTGCGACTGTGGTATTTTATACAATGGGTCGGGAGGATATATATTTAGTATGAATGACTGAACTGCGCAACTATTTTCAAACGGGAGAGTTGTATGATTCGGATGATCAAATAACTTAAAGTCTTTATTTTCATGGTCCCTCTTTGAGATGAGATATAAAAGGACATGAGCCGTTCACTGGTTATGTATTTACGTTGATGTCCAATATGCGAACGAATCGTCTTTTAAACCGGTTCTTTTTAGTGATTCGAACGAACCGATTCATATAACGGTCGTAAATCATTCGACTAAAACTGTGAGGTGGGTGACATGTTGGAACTAAAAAAAAATCTATATAGCCTAACCCAATCTACGCGTTATAACCCAAATCTAGATAACCCAAACGTATTAAATAAAACAGTCCGAGAGAACCGATTCGCTCCAATGAATCGGACTTCAGAATACTATTCAGGCAGTGAATTCAGGCATCACGTATTACATTATAACAGAACAGGTTAACTTGTATATTAACAGATATCACAATCTGGATTACTATAGATGACAAATGGTTTGCATGGGCATTGGGCACTAAAGAGTAAAGTGAAAAAAAGGATTGCGCTATTATCTGCAGTGTGCCGCATTCACTCGCGTGCTCTCTGGCCTTATGCCCGCTGTGCGAGTCAAATAAATCGGCCTGAAGCCTGCAAATGCTCGCCAGTTGCACTTTCATAAAGGAAACGTTGAGATAAGCAGCTTTTACTAATTCTAATGCTTGCAAAGTCTCCCTCTCCTCCTCGCATGTGCGCCCTATTGGTCGCTTTGGATGCTGCTCTGTCGTCATCACTGACGTAGGTAGGGTTATTAGAGTGTATTGAGAGAGAAAAAAACATGTATTCAGAGAAAGAAGACAAATGCAACATACCTGCAATATCCATAAAAATACATGACTCTGTGCTCAGAAGTAATAAGCTGAAAATACTCATTCTACTACAGAAAGGCAGACACAAAGAGATACTCTTGTGAAAAAGCAGTGTGCATAATTGTGTTGTATGTGCACTTGTAGTGTACTTAAAATCAGCTGTGAAAGCTGTAAAATCAAGGAAATATACCTTATGAATTAAGTTCAAAAAAGTATAATGAATTACCACATTTGTTACCAAGACAAGTCAAATTGAATAACTCAAATATTTAAGTAAGCCAATTTAAAAACAATATTTATGAGTTATGTGAACTTTTTTCTTGTTGTGTTCACTAATATAACACTTTTAATATAAAGCAGCAAGCAGACTGTCTTTAAGTCTTATTGGCTCGGCCTGTCCTTAACCTAACCATCTTGTTAAAGAAATGTAACAAAAATAATGAGAATATCTTAAAGTATAATTTGTTAATCAAATATTAATTTCTTTTCGTGATAGATGTACTAAATAGATGTACTTTTTAGACCAAATATACTGTTGAATTTTTGCCATTTATTTTGGGATGTCCAACTCAAACCATCACATAAGTGATATTCAGAGATTTTACTAAAGGGATAGTTCACACAAAAATGAAAATTCTGTCATCATTTACTCACCCTCATGTTGTCCCAAACACGTAAGACATTTATTCATCTTTAGAACACAAATGAAGATCTTTTTAATGAAATCTCAGGGATTTCTGTCCCTCAAATCTCAGGGATTTCTGTCCCATTGACAGTCTACGCAACTACGAACTAGAATGTAGTTTTTATTACTATATCTTAACACACTTAAATTAGATAAAGCATGGTGGATAATACTAACAGCCATATTAACTTTATTATCCAAAACCAAAACGATAATCCAGGATAACAAGAACAAACGTAGCATCTTTTTAACCAAACTGAGGAGGGGCAGGTAAACATAATTGGTTACCATGGTAACACTTGAGTGGTACGAAACATAGGGAACAAACAAGAACAAAAACACACGAAACAATGAAAACTCTTTGAAAACCAACATAAACCTAACAAACTGATTGCATTTAATATTATTTTAATCTGTAAAACATTTACATTTAATTGCAATTAAATGTCTGAAAAAAACATTACAAACATTGCGAAAGCAATCCGGTCAAATGCGTTTTCGACTACCTCTGGAAGTGTTTTTTTAGAAACCGTTTTACTCTTGTATTTAGCGTCGTCAACTTGTGATGGGATTGACCAAAACTCATCGTAATACCAAGTGTAAACTGGGCCTCAGTTTACTATTATATCCATAATAAGTTCTCCTAAAAGTATGCTAAGTTGTACTTCTTTTTCACTTATCAGGTTTGATGGTCTTTATAGCAGTAGTTTTTGTCATTGACATTATCTGTTTATTTGTTTTTTCAGTTGGTCGCCACAGGGCAGTTCACAATCATCAAGCAGCCATTAGGATTCATTAAAGTCTTACAATGGGTGAGTAACTACAGTTCATGCAGTGTGGGCCCTATGGTTTCCGCGATCACAGAATTGCGGAATTGGCTAATTAACGCGGAATTTCGTGGAATTTTACATATTTGGTTTGAAATTCTGTTTTTGTGTGGGAGAAGAACGTATGTCTGGTGAAAATGCAGACCGGGGGAAGCAAATCTGGGTGACGAAATCAAAACAATGAACTCATGGCGAAGCAGCTCTCCACGGCGCTGCTTTCGTCGGCAAAAAGTTAACAAAAAAACTCAACGCTATAAGCCATCAGTGCTGAGCCGAACAGTTCGCACGTGACTTTTATGCAGTGTTTCCCACACATAGACTAATTTGCGGTCACAAAATTAACTCCGGTCGCCACATATTGCGTTTCGTTCATTTTTTTAACGCAATTTAAAACATGCAGCGTATAGAGCATCACAGTCCCGCCCACAGCCCGAGAGAGCGTTGGTGCTGGAAGTAAATTTCCCATTCATTTCTCCCAGTGACACTTTGTAAAATCCATATCTAAAGAGTTTTAGAGCATGTCTGAGGATAACCAGCTATGGCTGAACTCATAAGCATACAACAAATCATTTCGAGTAAAAAAACGTAGAGAATCCCAAAAAACATATTTTCATTTCCGAGCAAAGGAACTACTCCTCCGAATAAACCACCGCGCCTCACTAAAGTCGACTGAAGCCACCGCGAAAAAGCCTTTTGAGTGACTTCCAAATCTGACGACGGGCACGTGAACTTTTTCCTCCAGTGAATTTTATATAGTGAATGTGCAGGGAAACTCCTTTTCCTCGATTTACTGATCATATGTAAAACGTATTTGTAGCTGCACATGCTAAAACATTGAGCATCTGGCTCGCTCATAGGCTGTGCTGCGGCGACTGCACAACCAATGGCGCGGGGGGCGTCTCTGAGGTGAAATGAACCTAGCCCTACGTCATTACACCATCTTCAGTCTGTCACGTACCTTTGCGGGGTTTCAGACACATTACACGACTTCCACCAATCAGATGCATCACTGTGGGATTGTGGGTAATGAAGTACTTATCCAAAACATCGCGAATAAAAGGCATTTATCTTAAAACAAGGTTAGTGCTCCATGAACTTTTGGCGTTTATATGAGCATAAACAATCGCTTAGTACAGCCGTAGCTGGTTTTAAGTCAACCATGTATGGTTACGTTTTTATGGCTTATATCTCAAATGTGAATGGAGAAATTGTATTGAATTCTTACTTCTGGCACCGTCTGTGGGCGGGACTGTGATGCTCTCTATTCCTTCAGTTGTATCTCCTTTCCCCGCTCTCCCTCCGCCTCTCTATCACTCTCGCGTCTCTCTCTCACACACACACACACAACGTGCACACCGCGTCTGTCTATGAGGCGCCGGACTGGACAAAAGCGAAGCGAACTCCGTGAGCCACACTGGGCGAGAGAGAGACAGATTGTGACTTTATTTAAACTTATATAAACTAATGTAATTTATATAACTGGACAGTTTAAAGCTCATAACCATATTTTGTTGTTACTTGAAGAGTGTAGTGTTATGTTGCATCATGCTGTATTTGTCTTGAAAAGGCTACTGAGTAAATGTCTGTTACCTCAATAAATTTAAGGTCATTCCTATTTTATTTCTATACATTTTAATCATTAACTTTAAAAGCACACTATTTTTACAACTAAAATAACAATCAAAGGTAAAAAAAATGAATTCCCAATAAAATAAAGCAGAATTTGGGAAAAAATAAAACAGAATTTCATAGGGCCCTAAGTGTGCTGTTTTTTTTATCTTGCTATTTTAACTCCTTTTCTTTCTCTTTCCTTCATATTATTTTCTTCTAAAAACTGTAATCTCTTTAAATATGTGTGGTTGCAACTTTTAAACTGTAATTTTACCAAAAGCATTGGTATTTCCTACAGCTACAGCCAGTGCAAATCTAGTTCAGTTTCTCTTAATTATATCTGGCAGTAAACACAACACACACACACACACACACACACACATGGTATTGTGCACAGCTTGTGTGGGTGGCTGTGAACAGTCACTGCTGTTGCTTACATAATGTGAGGAGCCTGACAAGACAAGTCGATAGTAAATCAAGACAAATCTTTAGAATCTAAGAGTTCAAGTGCCCCATTTAGAAAATGTATTTGCAAATATGTGTGTGTTTTGTGCATGTTTAAAGTTGTAAAATAGATTTGTAGGTAGATCTAGCAGGGCTTGACATTAACTGTTTTGCTCAGCAGTCACTGTGGTTATAGTGGTTTTCCAATGTTACAAGCCACTCAGCATTTTCTCTGGCCACAATTCTGACATCGATACCATGGGGGAAAACTGCCATGTAGATATTTTTTAATATTAACTCATAATTTGGCAGCAGTTTTATCAGGCTGATGTCACTTTAAAGGGGTCATGAACTGGCTTTTTAATAGTTTTTAATAGTAAAAGGCTATTTTCTACCGTAGTTTTGAGCCTAGCTGAAAAACGCTCGGTTTTTATGGCCTTCTCACACTGAAGACTTGGAAGTAAACGCCCACTGCTGTGAGTGGATTTGTTTTGCATATTATAATGAGTTTCAACTCACCCGTCGGTGCAGTTGGGGGAAATTGTTTTGAAAACGTCCAATATTGTAAAATGGCAACCGGAATGATTCGCCCATACATGTTCGACCCAGAGTCCGTGTGTTGCACCATTCCTGTCAGATCCGATATAGACGGCACAGCACCGTTCTTTACTCTTAATCGGTCTGCAAATCCAGTCTTGTTTACAAAACAATCCTCAGTGAAATGAAGTGAACAGACGGACGATGTTTTACCCTCATCAGCTGGAACGTCTTTAAAAATAAAGTTTAACCATGCAGTCCTATTGGAATCCAGAGGAAGCTTATGCAGCGACTGTCTTCTTCCACAACCAGGCACTGCACAATATTCTGTAAACGGCATGTTTATTGCTCGGTAGCTCAATCCGGTTTTTCATCTTGAGGTAGGCATCTATGTTATTTAGCTATGCGTGTAATGTGCGAATCGGTGGGCGGGGCTAAACCGGCCGTGTTGAAGTAGCCGTTAATCTTCTTCTGTAGGGGTGGTGTTTTATCCTCTTTGACGTCATAGTTCCCCACTTTGAAAAACGAGTCGTTTGCTGAGGCTGGTGTCAATAAAAGCTTTTATTGGACTAACAAGGATTTGTTAAGAATCTTACAGGATATTCTTATAATATAATGACCTCTTAGATGTCAAAAGCTCAAGGAAAATTTGATTTCTCAGTTCATCACCCCTTTAAGACCTGACGCACGGATCCATTATAGATGCGTTTTCTTTCTCTACTGTTGACATTCACTTAATACATAACTGACCGTTTACATGAATACTCACCATGGCTGGCGTTTTGACATTATTTTGAGTGTATTTGTCTGTTTTAAAGCACAATAAGCAGGGAAAAGTAACTCAATTTAGTGCTGAGAGGCGGCTTTATGTTCGCACACTTGGGATGTGACAAAGACTGTGGGAATAAGTAAATTTATACACAATCCCATGCTGAAATTCAAGCCCTGTTACACCAACAATGTTCATCTGGAGTAAATGAATTGAGTGGGTTAGGAGAGACGGGTTTGTGTGTCACTCACTGTCTACATTGCACCTTTTTAAAAGAGTACAATTGAAAAATGAATTCTATATACAATTCAACCCTCCAAAGTGGCCAGTAGTGACTGCGTTACACGCCTCTGAAATACACCCACATTTCGAGGTTTGACAGTTGTTAATGCCAAGCACTTTATTAATTATTTTAAAATCTTAGATTTTACTGAGAGAACATTTTTATTATATATAGTATGATATGAAATTGTGATAGTAAGTTTGAATTGCAACGGTAAATTTATTCTGAAATGTTACCATTTAGGAAATAAAACAGTAGTCAGTTTATGGGTCCTTTTGAAAAATAAGAGATAATGATATCTAATCTGGCACATCTGTAGATTTAACAGCCTGCGCTTTCTGCTTTGGTTAAATGTAGAGCCCGACCGATAAAGGATTTTGAAGGCCGATACCGATACAAATATTTGTTGGTTTTAAAATCCGATATTCCGATATATCGGCCGATATTATTATTATTTTTTTTATTTCAGAAATGTGCAACAAAATATTAAAAGATTTCCCTAACATAGTTATTTGTAGTTAATTATGAGTTTTAACAAAAATAATATGATAATGCATAACTGGTTCTCTCTGCCCGACTCTGGCTGGATCAGCAGGTTGACGGTGTAGAGTGCCCTCTGGTGGCCAAACTATACAACGCCAACACTCATGACATGGTTGAAGCGTGTTTCGTCCGTTTCTATTTTTATTTTTGGAAATATTCATTTATCGGCCATTATAACTGCCAATACCGATATGTTAGAAAATATCTGTCTGACGATATATCGGTCTGACTCTAGTTAAATGTCATGAATTTGTGCCCATTTCTGTCTAATTTTCTCTTTAAAGCTTGCTCTAATTAATTGCTTAGAATTTGAGAGAAGTGTATAGTCACTGCATGCATAGAAAAAAAAAAGAAAAGACCAATATTTAGTGGATGCCTTTATTGCATAAATACATTTACTTGCTATTAAAAATGTAAGTCCCATTTGCCAGGCGCTGTGTAGGCTGTAGTGCACGATCACAAAAGATAACAAAAAAGGTGTCTTTAATGTTAAATTCCACTAGGAACATTTCGTCCCGCTGCCAAAAAAGGAATCAAGGTCTGAACCGATCAAGGTTTGGAACAAAATGAAAAATTAAACCTGAAGTCACATAATTCCTTATTGCTTTCTTTCACCATTCTTCATTAATTTATTCTGTTAGAGTTAAAAAAATCCTTAAGGAATGCCTACAAGACTTCTGTCATAATTTGAATCCCATCCTAAATGTCAATTATCTTACAGCAATTAATTCAGTTCAATTCACATTTATTGTATAGCGCTTTTTAAACATATCGTTTTAAAGCAGCTTTACGGAAAAT